GTGGCCCCGGGTGACGTCATCGGTGACCCCCAGGGCGTGGCCAGAGGTGACGTTGAGGTGGTGCCCTTGGGTGACGTCATCGGTGACCCCCAGGGGGTTCCGCTGCCCCCCCGGGTGGCCCCACCCCTCCCGTGTCCTCACCTGCCGTCCCCGTGTCCGTCCCCGTGTCCGTCCCCGTGTCCGTCCCCGTCCTCGTCCCCTCCGTCCTCGACCCGCGGCCGCTTCGCCCCCCCCGGCCCCTCCCCCGCCCCGGGGCGCTTCAGGGGGGGGACTTTGTGGGTGACACCGAGCTGGTGGCCTTGGGTGACGTCATCGGTGACCCCCAGGGCGTGGCCAGAGGTCACATTGAGGTGGTGGCCTTGGATGACGTCATCGGTGACCCTCAGGGCGTGGCCGGAGGTGACACCAAGTTGGTGGCCCTGGGTGACGTCATCAGTGACCCCCAGGGCGTGGCCGGAGGTGACGTTGAGCTGGTGGCCCTGGGTGACGTCATCAGTGACCCTGAGATGGTGGCCTTGGGTGACATTGAGCTGGTGGCCCTGGGTGACGTCATTGGTGACATTGAGGTGGTGGCCGGAGGTGACACTGAGCTGGTGGCCCTGGGTGACGTCATCGGTGACCCCCAGGGGGTGGCCAGAGGTGACATTGAGCTGGTGGCCTTGGATGACGTCATTGGTGACCCCCAAGTGGTGGCCAGAGGTGACATTGAGCTGGTGGCCCTGGGTGACGTCATTGGTGACACCACGATGGTGGCCAGAGGTGACACCAAGTTGGTCGCCCCGGGTGACGTCGGTGACCCCCAAGTGGTGGCCAGAGGTGACATCGAGCTGGTGGCCAAGGCTGACGTCGGTGACCCCGATCTGGTGGCCCCGGTTGCCATCAGTGACCCCCAGGGCGTGGCCGGAGGTGACACCGAGCTGGTGGCCTTGGGTGACGCCATCGGTGACCCCCAGCTGGTGACCCTCGGTGACCCCGATCTGGTGGCCCAGGTCGCCGTCGCTGACCCCCGGCTGGTGGCCCCGGGTGCCCCCATCGCCCCGGCGGCCCCGCTGCCCGTCCAGGTGCCCCCAGGCGCCGTTGGCGGCCCCGTCCTTGCCCCCGGCGGCCCCGGCGGCGCCGACGCTCCTCAGCACGAACTCCACGATCTCGGGGGGCAGCCCCTCGGC